AGCAATAGAGCACATATTTGACTTAGATTGTACATAACTGCATTTCTAACACACTTCATAAGGAAGTCACAAGCATCTGCTAGGCTAAGGAGAGGGACACACCCTACATCTCAGTGGCAAGAGTGTCAGCCACACTTTATGAAGAGTATAAGGATAAGGTGAACATGTAGTTATGGGCTTTAGAACATTAACTCTGATTAACCTCATAACAGATTGCACATAGGTAGAGCAAAGTTGTATAATATGACTGAAATAAAATACTTTAAAAGTTTTGTACTTAGCAGGCTGAAAATATGAAAATAAATGACAGTGGCTTTACCACATTCTATTTTTGAAATAATCAGATTTATAGGATAGTTGTGAAAGCTACATGGTTCCCAAGTCATCTCATAGTAAGTTGGTGACTGGATGCCTTATCATTTCTGAACAATTTCTTGTACATTTCCCACCCACAAAAATTTTCCCAACATAACCATGACACAGCCATCAAAAGCAACAAGGTTACACTAGTGCATGACTCCCATAAAGTCGTCAGATCTTATTCTGGTTTCACTACGTGTTCTAAAAACACCCACCCCCTTTGCAGAGATCTAATAAAGTGTCATCATATTACAATATCATTTCAGTGTCGGCTGTCATAGGTGTCTAATACAGAGGTTCTCAACCTATGGGTCGTGACCCCTTTGTGGTCGCATGACCCTTCCACAGGGGTCACCTAAGACCATCGGAAAAGCACAGATATTTACATTATGATTCATAACAGTAGCAAAATTACAGTTATGAAGTAGCACCAAAATAATTTTATGGTTGGGCTCACCGCAACATGAGGAACCGTGTTAAAGGGTTGCAGTACTGGGAAGGCTGAGAACCACCGCTCTAGTCCATGTAAGCATGGAACTCTTCTTAATCTCACCCTCATTTAATAACACTGGTATAACAACCAGGTGATTTACGGATTGTTCTTCAACTTCTCTTTGTGTGGTGTTTTCGGATGGTTAAAATAGTCTACGTCTTTCACGGTGATCCAACAGGGGATGTGTTGTGTTCTTGTCATTACATCCTGTGAGGCTATGTGTCATTTCCTTTATCCTTTTTCAACTATTATTCACTTTATCCCTGAGTCCCGTGGTGTCTGCTGGGCCTCTCCAACTTAAAGTTTCTCTTTTACCATTCATAATTAATTAATATCTTATAGTTACAACCATGTAAATGTTTCATCCCTCATCAAACACTGTTTACTCATTTGCATCAATATGCATTTGTGATTTCCTATTCTATTCTATAGGTTATGACACACTGCCATCGATCGCTCCCTACTTCCATGCTCAAATTTTTCCATATTGAGTCAGAAACAGTTCCTTCCAATTGGTTTCTAAGCTTGTTGATATGCCTCCATCATTGTCTGGACGTTTCTTGTTTCTGGTCCAATGAGGCACACCTTACACTTTCCCCACCCAGCCCTAGAAGTAATCAAGTATTCAAAAAATCTTGTTGTCTCAAAGTAAAATATATACATATATATACATACATATGTGTATATATATATATAAACCCAAGTGCTAGGTGTCCTCATTGCTAACAAGAAATTGCTGCTCTCAGGTGACAGGGATAAGAAACCGTATACAAATAGGTCCTTGTAACCACTGATCCTTTATATTTATACATTTTATTGAACGCCACATGTTCCTACTAATATATCCAATTCAACTATCTAGTTGATTCTGTAATATTTTTTTTCTACTACAATTCTCATTTTGGCTCTTAGAATACATATTATATTCTAGGTACAGAATGCAATATATGGAATTATATTAAGAATCAAAGCTTATTCTTACTCTTAATGTATTTACTACTCAACTTACTACTCAATGGTCATAAGTGACCAGTTTTCCATCCGTTCTGACACACCTGCTCTGTTTGAATGAGAATTATTTCACTTTGATTCCCACGTTGAGTGTTTGCATGACATAGATGACTCTGTCATCTTGCCTGGCCCCTGACACCTACTCCAGGCAATCATTCCATCCCTTTTCTTTGGCTGAAAGTTTGAAAACCTTTGTTAGGTGTCCTCTCTATGACACCGTAAAGATGCCTATGTCTCAATCTTCAGAACCTACAAATGTTACTTTCTATTGCAAAAAGAGCTTTTCAGATGCAATTAAAAATCTTGAGACATAGACATGATCCTTGTCCTATCTTCTTTGTTGTTGTAATAGGATGCTGACTAAAGAAAACTTGAAGGGAAAGGGTTTATTTGACTCACATGTCCTGAGCAGTTTATCTCTAAAAGAAGTCGGCACAAAGGACTCAAGCTGAACACAGGCAGGAACCATGGGAGGAAGCTGGCTCACATTTGCCTACCTCTCTTACACTTTCTGGGACTACCCATCTTGGGACCATCCACACTGGCCTGGCCCTTCCCGTATCATCCAACAATCAAGATGATGCCACACCAACATGGCCACAGGCCAGTCTGATGGAAGCATTTCCTCAATTGGGTTTCCCTCCTCCCAGATATGTCAGCTTGACACCTAGATTAGCCATCATGATCTTGAATTATTAAAATGATCCCAATATAATCTCAAAAGTCCTTATAAGAGGGAGATAGGAGTGCTGGGGTCAGGGAAGGTTAGAAGGTTTATTCCCAAAGGCTTTAAAGAAAAGAGGCCCCACCTGACAGCAAGAGCAGCTTTCAGATAGAAAACAGATTCTCTGCTTGGGTCTCCAGCCTGACAACAGCCTTGTTGGTGGCTTGATTCCAGCCTGGGTTTGGACTTCCACTGTCCAAGCTGTGGGACAATGTTGTGTTTCTTAGAGTAAGTGAGTCTGTGGTGACTGTCACGGTTTGAAAGAAAATGCCACCCCAAAGGGGAGTGGAACGATTGGGAAGTGTGTCCCTTTTCGAGGAAGATTGTCAGTGTGGGGTGGGCTTTGAGGTCTCCTGTGCTCAAGCTACACTGAGTGCCACAGTTGTCTTCCTGTTGCTCACAAGCTGTAGGACTCTCAGCTCCTTCTCCAGCACCACCTCTGCCTGCACGCTGCCATGTCTCACCATGATGATGATGGACTGAACTCTGAACTGTGAGCAAGCCACCCTGATTAAATGTTTTCTTTTTAAGAGTTGCTGTGTCTCTTTGAAGCAATAGAAACCCAAACCAAGACAGCGACTTCTCACTAACCCAGCAGAATCTAATACAATCACTCTGTCGGGTTCTGATGCTCTACTCGCTCCCCTGTGCATACGCTCCTCCTCACAGTGCACTCAGAACCTGCTTCCATAGTCGCCAACAGGGCTGCTTAGCTCACTCTGCTTTACCTCTCTGATTTCAAACTACAAAATATGAAGGGGTGAGAAAAAGAGAATGAAGAAAAGAGAAAGGAGAGAGAGCCTGTTATGTTCCATTCCATCCAGGCACCAACCATGCACCAGCAAAGGTGTACCAGCTGTTTTTGAGAAGGAACTGAGACTTTGGCTTTTTTTTTTTTCTGTTTTTGTTTTTGTTTTGTTTTGTTTTTTCGAGACAGGGTTTCTCTGTGGCTTTGGAGCCTGTCCTGGAACTAGCTCTTGTAGACCAGGCTGGTCTCGAACTCACAGAGATCCGCCTGCCTCTGCCTCCCAAGTGCTGGGATTAAAGGCGTGCGCCACCATCGCCCGACTGGAACTGGGACTTTGTACTATTTTTGTGCTCTCACTCCAGGCCTTAGCTATTGTTGCCCCACTGCTAATGGACCAAGGGAGATGTCCATCCCTACTAACACAGGACAAGAATAATTGCCACCCTTATCTCCCTTATTATAAAATATAGTCAACCCCTTCTGTAAATCCTACAACACCCCTGAGACTAAATGGGAACATAAAAAAATAAGATAACGACATACAGAGAGTTACTAAAAACATCAACTCAAGTTCTACTGAAGGATATACCCTGCCTCACTCCCTGCTACAACCCCACCATGTAATACAGTACGGTTCTCCATGTCTCAGAATCTGGTCCAAATGATGTCACCTTCACTCAGAGAAAAGGAGAAAATTTTAACCTAGCCCCAGACTGGCTTAACCCTACCCTTTCTACTGTGTAATTAATCACTTCTCAAAATAAAGGAACCCTTCCATAGCTATGATCTGACAAAGGAACCCTTCCCATAGCTATGATCTGACAAAAGAACCCTTCCCATAGCTATGATCTGACAAAGGAACCAACCCTTCCATAGATATGATCTCTTCTGTGGTCCAAGTTAAACCATCTCACAGTAACTTTCCATCTGCAGTTGCTTTAAAGTCTGCATCAATCAGTTTGATATCTAACCAGCAGTGTTTCATGTATGTCACACCATGTCAACGCTAGTCTACTTTTCTTTTCATTCTGGCTGCCTACAAGATTTTAAAGCTTTGCAATCAAGTTGCAGTCCTGATGCTTAGTTACACAACAATAGTACAATAACCACTGATTATTGTTGAGGACTGAAATGACCCCTTGACGCAAAGTGTTCCAGGCAGTACTACCATGTGGTATGATACCTAACCTCTTGCATCCCTTCCTAGTCCTAATCTTGCCACCCCTGTGTGTCCTGAAGCCAGCAGAAATCATCTCGTTCTGCCCATCATTCTTGTTTATGTAAGTGATTATAAATTCAAGTTCATAACTGTAGGGATAAGTCCCACCTCTTAGGAGGCGTGTTCGCCTCAGGCTAAAGTTTGCCCATAAATTTGGCGAGCGTGCTCCCAGCGCTCGCTTCTGCTTTCCTGGTCTCCACGGGAACGGTGGTTCTGTAAGTCTATTCCTCCATTAAAGCTGTCTATATTTTGACAATCTGTCTGCATTCGCTTACACCTTTACATTTTGGCGTCCAAGGTCGGGCTAGTTTGCCCCCGACTCAAGCGCGTCCCGGGTGTCATTTTCTTAGTTCGTGACTCGGGCCCCAGGGCTGAGTCCGAGACACACTCGGCCTTCAGGCCCATAATATCCAGAGAGGCAGGCGGATCTCTGTGAGTTTGAGTTCGAGGCCGGCTAGGCTGTGGTGGCGCACGCCTTTAATCCCAGCACTCGGGAGGCAGAGACAAGCAGATCTCTGTGAGTTCGAGGCCAACCTGGTCTACAAGAGCTAGTTCCAAGACAGGCTCCAAAACCACAGAGACCACCACCAGCAGGAACCAGTCATTGCAGGTAAAAGAAAAAATTTTCTTTTATAATTAAAATGTCTGAACACGTTACCATTCAAGAATTTAACAGTTTTTTTAATTGTACCATGTGGGAGATTTTACAAGAGGTGTCTATCACCACACCTCTATGGATCTTTCTGGGATTCGTAGTTTTCCTTGGCACTATATGGTTTGATAATAGAAATATGATAAAGTCTTTACGAGCAGAGGTTGCACGCTTAAAAACAATTGAGAATGACAACAATCTTCTCAAGAATCAGTTTGAAGTTCTCCAGGAGGAGAACAGATCTTTGTTTAACATGACTCGATCAACTGAGGAAAATTTAAAAAAGGTACAGACTGATATTAAGGAGAAATTCATTACTATGGAAGAGGGAACAGCTGATTTGGATCGTAAGCTCCAGTCCCTTTCTGTAGGAACTGAAACATTACAGGCTGATATTAAGGAGAAATTCATTACTATGGAAGAGGGAACAGCTGATTTGGATCGTAAGCTCCAGTCCCTTTCTGTAGGAACTGAAACATTACAGGCTGATATTAAGGAGAAATTCATTACTATGGAAGAGGGAACAGCTGATTTGGATCGTAAGCTCCAGTCCCTTTCTGTAGGAACTGAAACATTAGTGGCTGATATTAAGGAGAAACTCATTACTATGGAAGAGGGAACAGCTGATTTGGGTTGTAAGCTTCAGTCCCTTTCTGTAGGAACTGAAATAGTAACTGAGAGAATCAAAACTGCTGAATGTGACTATCGGATTTTGTCTAAAGCTTATGACAGATTGGCAGAAAGATTGTCAATACAAGAAGGCACGGTTTATGCCATAAAAATTATGTCCAAAGATGAGAACTTATCTCTAATGGACAAACTTCATACTTTAGAATCCTCAATGAAGGCTTTGGAACATAATTCTGGACAGGAGATACAGACATTGCAGAAGGCAATGGTGAATAGAATTGAAAAGATTGAGGAATTTCTAAATTCTGATGAAGAAGAACAAACGGTAGAAAGGCAAATTTTAACTACATCTGTGGGTAAATCCCTCCGGGACAATTTCCACAAATCTCTACCTACAGCTCTACCTGCCTTTCCAGTAATAACAACAGAGAAGGTGATTGGTTCCAGAAACCCTAGGGTCATTAAGGAAGATACATGGGAGCATGTCCGTATGAATGATCTCAAAGAAATTAAACAGGCTGTCATGACTTTCGGGATGCATTCCTCTTTTGTTAAAGAGATGCTAAAGTCTTGGGCATCCACAAGCAGAGCTACGCCATTGGACTGGCTCCAGCTGAGCTCTGCAGTCCTTGAGAGTGGGCCGCACTTAAAATGGAAATGCTTGTTCAGGCAAGAGGCTAGACTTTTAGAACAGCAAGAAAAGGCGAAGGGAAGTGACATCTCCCTAGATAAAATTCTAGGTGAAGGACGCTTTTCTGACCCTCAGGAACAAGCTAATTTGGACGAAAACACACTCTCCATATGCACTACAGCAGCCTTAAGGGCTTGGGACAGGGTACAAGACCCAGGACAGAGAATGGAATCATTTGTCACAATTAAACAAGGTCTGAGAGAACCTTTTAGTGATTTTTTACAAAGACTTACTAAGGCTGTGCAAATAGGGATACCTGACCCTGACGCAAGACGTATAATGATTGAGTCTTTGGCTTATGAAAATGCAAATGTGGAATGCAAAAAGATTTTGGGGCCTTTAAGGTTCAGATCAGCACCCTTGGAAGAATGGGTCTTGCATACACTGGATGTTGATACATTTGATTATGGCACTGAAGCATGGGTAGAAGAAGCAATTTCCAATGGTAAAAGGAGACACCAGAATACCAAATGTTTTAATTGTGGCAAAATGGGTCATATGAAAAGGAATTGTAAACAACGGATCTTCAGAAATAATAATAATGCATCTTCTAGAAATAACAGAAATAGGAGGACTCAGCCTTCAGGTTTATGTAGAAGATGTGGAAAAGGTAGACATTGGACGAATGAATGCAGGTCTACAAGAGATAGACAAGGCAACCTGATACAGACGGGAAACGTGAGAGGGGGGGCCTCACAGGCCCCCATGGCAAACATGGTTCAGTCATTTCCAGTTTCTGCAGAGAACGTGCCTCGTCAGGACAATTAGGAAACCTCATGCCTACTGTTACAAACGATAATGAGCAGAAAGATGAGTTACGTGTGTTTTGGCAAACTTCTATAAATGATCAAAGACCTAAGCTGAGAGTGTGTGTAAATGGCATTTTTATTACTGGCCTGCTGGACACAGGTGCTGATGTAAGTATCATTACCCCAGAATCTTGGCATCCGTATTGGCCTCTTCAGAATGTAAATGTTCAGCTCCTGGGAATTGGAACCCTATCTCGAGTAAGACAGAGCACAAGATGGGTTGAATGTATAGGGCCTGAGGGACAAATAGGAAAATTAAGGCCATATGTAGCCAATATTGCAATGAATTTATGGGGTCGTGACCTATTACAACAATGGAATACCCAAATTAACATTCCTGCTACTTCTAGAGCCTATATTTCTGAGAATAATATTAAAAGATATTACAAAGGAGAAAATCGGCCATTCAGGCTGTACAAGAACAAGGAATTGATGTCCCTTCAGAGATACCAACAGCCTTGCCTCTAAAATGGTTGACTGAGAAACCAATATGGACAAAGCAGTGGTCTTTAGCTGAGGAAAAGTTACAGGATTTAGAACAGCTGGTACAAGAACAATTGGATGGCGGACATATAGAAGAATCTACCAGCCCTTGGAATTCTCCTGTATTTGTGGTTAAGAAAAAATCAGGTAAATGGAGAATGGTGACAGATCTCAAGGCCATCAACAAGGTTATTCAACCTATGGGTCCTCTGCAATCTGGAATTCCTTTGCCCTCTTTATTACCAAAAGGATGGCCTCTCATAGTTATTGATTTAAAGGATTGTTTTTTTTCACTATAACTTTGCAAAGAGAAGATAGAGAAAAATTTGCCTTCACAGTGCCTACTTATAACAATTCTCAACCTTCGAGGAGGTACCACTGGGCCGTCCTCCCCCAGGGTATTTAAATAGTCCCTCCTTGTGCCAATATTTTGTGAATCAACCATTGTAAATTATCCGCAAGAAATTTCCCAAATCGATAATATATCACTACATGGACGACATTTTGTTATCCGATTCAAACATGGAAACCTTGAACAGACTGAAGAAATAAAGATACTTTTACCTAAATGGGGATTGCAAATTGCTCCTGAAAAGATTCAAAAGGGAGATTCTGTTAATTATTTAGGTTATAAAATAGGTTTACAAAAAATTAAGACACAAAAGGCACAAAATAGGAGAGATCGCCTACGGACCCTTAATGACTTTCAAAGACTGTTAGGAGACATTTCCAGTCTACGACCAGCTATTGGGATAACACCTGATCTAATAATTCATTTGAACAAAACCTTGGATGGTGATAAAGATTTAAACAGTCCCAGAGAATTAACAGCTGAAGCAGAAAAGGAACTGACGATGATTGAGGAAAAATTACAACAGGCACATGTGGACAGGGTGAATCCAGAGCTCGATTGTATTCTCGTCATATTACCATCAAAAATTTCTCCTACAGGAATTTTAATGCAGAGAGATGATATTATCTTGGAATGGATCTTTTTACCACATAAACCAAGTAAAAAACTGAAAACTTATGTGGAAAAAGTCTCTGAGTTAATTATAAAAGGCAAGCTGAGACTTCGTCAACTAGCAGGCATAGACCCAGCAGAAATTATAGTGCCTTTCACTGCTGATGAACTAAAGAAATTATGGGAAGATAATGAACCATGGCAAAGAGCTTGTGCTAGTTTTTTGGGAGATATTAATAACAATTATCCAAAAAGCAAGAGGCTTAACTTCATAAAGAGAACTTCATGGATCCTTCCTCGAATCGTCCGTGATGCTCCAATAACTGGAGCCCGTACATTCTATACTGATGCCAATAAAACAGGGAAGGCAGGTTACAAATCGGAAGACTTGGGTAAGGTGGAACAAAGTCCTTATGATTCTGTCCAGAAGGCAGAATTATATGCCATTCTTATGGTGCTAAGGGATTTTAGAGAACCTATTAATATAGTTACTGATTCACAATACGCAGAAAGAGTTATTTTACATATTGAAACTGCTGAATTTATACCTGATGATACAGAACTAACCTCATTGTTTATCCAGGTTCAAGATTTGATCAGGAACAGGCTCTGCCCTATGTACATAACACACATCCGATCCCATACGGGTCTGCCAGGTCCTCTAGCACAAGGTAATGCAGACATTGATCAGTTATTGATTGGTAGTGTGCTACAAGCCTCTGAATTTCATAAAAAACATCATGTTAATAGCAAGGGTTTGAAGAAAGAGTTTTCTATTACATGGCAACAGGCTAAGGAGATTGTAAAGAAATGCCCTACTTGCTCTTTCTATAACCAAACGCCACTGCCAGCAGGGGCTAATCCAAAGGGCACCCATAGGAATGAAATCTGGCAGATGGATGTGTTCCACTTTGCAGAATTTGGCAAATTGAAGTATGTTCACCACACCATTGACACTTATTCAGGCTTTCAGTGGGCAACTGCTTTAAGTTCAGAAAAAGCTGATTCAGTAATCACTCATTTATTAGAAGTCATGGCTATCATGGGTATACCTACACAAATAAAGACGGACAATGGTCCTGCTTATGCCTCTAGGAAAATGAAACGGTTTTTTGACTATTACAATATCAAGCATGTTACAGGTATACCATACAATCCTACAGGTCAAGCAGTCATAGAAAGATCAAATCGAACTATAAAAGATATGTTGAATAAACAGAAAGGGGTGGAAAACACCCCCAGAAATAGGTTACATAATGCTTTGTTAACCTTGAATTTTCTTAACGCTAATGAGAAGGGGACAACGGCTGCAGAAAGACATTGGATAATGGAAAAGTCTACTGAACTAAATCAACCAGTTTATTTCAAGGATGTGCTGACCTCACAATGGAAACCAGGAGATGTGCTGCGTTGGGGAAGGGGTTTTGCTCTTATCTCCACAGGTGAGGAACAATTGTGGATACCGACAAAACTAATAAAGGTTCGGTATGAAGAAGAAAAGCCATTTGGAAAAGATAAATAACAATTCTTTCACAAGGTTGGCGAGCATACTGATGGTAAGGAATACAGATAGGTTGGGGGCAGGGTTCTTTTCTTATCTCCACAGGAAAATATTGATCTTCAAAGACTTTAAGGGACCCTGAATATTTAATTACTGATGGATGGATAATAGTTACGACCTACTAAGGATCAACTAACATTATATACATACCGTAAGTATTGATTTTTTATATATTTATGTATATATGTTTTTTGTTTTTTGTTTTTGCTTTTCCTCGTATCTGTGTCTTTCTTTATATGTCAGTATATGTCCTTGTTGTTAGTGTCTAAATTTCCCATAACAAGCAACAAATTTTCCTACAGTAATTTTTGAAGTTTCCAGGATGAAGATGGGGCCCCACAACATCAACTCAACCTGGTTTTTATGACGTCATGAATATATTGAATATATTTTTTTTTTTTTTTTTTTCTTTTCTACGTGCTAATAATTTTTTTTGGTACCAACTGCACAAGACAATTTCGAATGGTGCACATTTTTTGACGACACTCTGGCCGGACCTTCTCAAAGCGCTCAGGGACTAGTTATAATTTTCTTAGGCCAAAGGTTAATTTGGGAATTTTACCATCATTTGCTTTCACAGGAGCCCCTAAGGAGAACATCGCCCCCATGTCAGCTTGAAGCAATCTTAGAGGACGGCGTCCCCTCCCCCAACAGAGTTTGCCCTCAGGGTTAGGGACATCTTTTAGTGGTTGGTTTGGGGTTGAGGGGATGGGGAGATGTTTTATGGAGTTAGGGGTATGTTAAAAAAAAAAAAAGGGGGGATTAACTGGTTTGATGGGATGATTGGTATTTGTGAGTTACTGTTTTTAGAAAATTGTATTGGTACTGTTTCCTGTATATTGACATATTGAATATTGAATGTGAGTGTTCCTACCTCTATTTTTGTATAAGAGTATACTTATATTGTATTGATACATCTACCATATCACAATGTACATTTCTACCTCTGATACTATTTATGTAATAACATTGTTTACATTTGATATGTAATGACATTGTTTACAGATGAAGATCATTGTCTTCATGTATTGCACAGTTGTTTATTTTTTTTTGTCTTCAAGTTAGATAGGTATTGAGAATTTTATGTTGTTCATGTTTATTTTTAGGTTAATAAGGTATTCTAGATACATAGAGATTATATTTAGTATAGATAGTATAATCTTCAGCCTCTTTAAAGAGCTGTAGAAAATGGCCTTTAAGCTAACCTAGAATTCTGTGCCGAGACACAATTA